AGCCACCACTGTGCCACGTGACGCATCTTCTCGTAAAGGACTGGGTTTTGAAGTCAAAACAATTTCAGGAGCATTATCATTTACGTCTTCTATATCTAATTGTAACTGACAGTGACCTTCCATTTCAGGTACACCTTTGTCTTTCGCAATTATGTCAATCAGATAAGATGCAAATGCCTCATAATCTAATTCTCCTTTTAAAACAATTTTCCCAGTTTGTTCATTAATTTCAAACGTTGATAAAACAGTTTCTGGAGTACGAGAACCAAAGGAATATTTAATTTCACTGTTCACACCTTCATCTGCATCTGCAGCTTTTACCGTCACTACAATTGTTCCTTTGGTGCTGTTTTCCTTTAAACAGACACTATACTCTTTTTCATTAAATATTGGAACATTGTCGTTAATATCAAGGACATCAATTATAATTTTACATGTACCAGATTTAATAGGGTTTCCCCCATCTATTCCTGTCAAGAGCAATTGATGAGTGGACATTTTTTCCCTGTCCAAAGATTTCTCTAACATCAGCTCAGGAACCGTTTTACCATTTTTTGCCTCCTTGAATTTCAAAGAAAAAAAATCGTTTTTCATTAAAGTGTATGTTTTGAGAGAATTTCTTCCAACATCGGGGTCCTCTGCACTCTCCAATGGAAAACGGGTACCCACTGCAACGGATTCTGGTATTTTAAGGTTAATTTCCTGCGTTTGGAAACGAGGAACATTGTCGTTAATGTCTCTGATTTCTACTTCAATTCGATGCAATTGCAGGGGATTTTCCACCACAACCTGCAGAGGGAGCACGCAGCTTGCGCTTTGTCCGCACAAAGCCTCTCTGTCTATTCTGTCGCTGACCAGCAGCTCGCCCTTCCCCGCATCCACGCTGAAATACTGCTTACCAGCCTCGGAGGCGACACGCAGCTTGCGCTCAAATATCTCAGACAGCCCCAAAGACAGATCTTTGGCCAGATTCCCCACCACGGAACCTTGCTTGAGCTCCTCTGGGATGCTGTAACGAGTCTGCGCATCCACTGTAGTCCACATGAGAAAATGCCACAAAAGAGCTCGCCATCGCCAGTCTCGGTTTCCTATTGTCTTTGTCATCCTTGCTCCCTATGATGCAAAAATCCTTCTCAACATCCTCTTCACGGCATTTGCTCCATCCACACAAATGGAGGATATTTCTATAAAAAAACACCTCAAGCCATCACGGCACAAATGCCGAAGAATAATTCGTTTCAATGTTAAAAAAAAAATCGAGCTGATTCCTTTCTGTCTGTGCCTCAGCTCAGTGCATTCGACGTGTGAGATGAAGCTGTGTGCAGGGGGCAGGGACCAGATTGCTTTGTACAGTCTTCAATTCTATTGGTTCACGGCTCGCACTTCCACCAACGAATCAGAGGGACGCTGATCCTCATTCACTCTTAAAGTCACAGCATTCTCCCCTCTTTCTGAAGTATTATCAGTGTTTTCCGGGCTAATTGTAAGGTTAGAGCTTTTTCAATTTTTATTTATTAATGTTGGTCATTTTATATGCACCCAAATCATTCTCAATATCAGAAATATTTAAAAGATGCATTGAAATGACACAAATACCAGACGGAATTTAGTTCAGCAGCATATAAATAAATCAGAAAAAGAAAAACATGTTTTTCTGCTAAAACGTTGCATTCGGCGTCACTTTCCACTCTTACATGGTGCTGAATATTTTCTGAGAGGAGTATCATTTACAGTTCCACCTAAATTTGCTAACTTCAAATCGTAAAACATGCAAACTAGGCTTTTAGTTCAAGAAAGGAAATCAACTTTTAATGTCAACACTAGTTTAATTACTCTCAGAGTGTCTATTATGATACTGCTGAATTATTTCTTTCGGGATTGGTGTGTTCATCTAAAAAAAAAACACCTGAAGAAACTACACTGTGATGCGAGCAGCGTGACTAATCATCCTGCGTCTTCGACAAATCATAACAATTAAATTGTGTCGATACATGATGGGAAAGAAGGCAAATAAACTACTATTCAACCGTAGTCAGGGGTGTGAAACAAAACCCTGAAGTTTCCACATTCCAAACTAAATTTATGCTGTGACTACAACAGGCATGCTACACAAAAGTGAGAAGCAAAACATTCGCCAAAGCAACTCGAGACCAGGTTGTGAAGCTGTTGGCAAAAACATTTCGCCCTTAATATCAAATTCAAAGGAAATTAATGAGAAAAACATTTGTATGGGAAAATTTGAAGTTCGTTGTAACACTGCAGAATTATTCCCATAACAGACGTGAAAACTGTGCAACAGCTTTCTTCATTCAAACCGTAAAATGTGGCTGCAGCAATATAAAGTCGGCATAAGTGATAAGAAGACCGACAAAAGCTATTGTTGTAGATGAGAATGGATCACGACTGTACAAAAATAAGGGAAACGTTTAAATTGCAATGAGTGGAGTGCTCCGAGTTCCCCTTGAGTGCAAACCAAAGTAGCACTCACCTGCTGGCTCTCAAAGGTCCA